TGCTGCTCCCTCGTCATGCAGGCACAGGGAGGAGGAGAGGAAGGTACCCAAGGCGGTGGAGATGGAGATGCGAGGAGCTACTTGATCCGCGTCCTCCTCCGCAGATAACTGATGGTTCTCACGTTAGGAGGGGGATGGAGGAAGAAGAGAGGAGGGAAAGGACGGAGGGAGGAGATGAAGAGGAGAGGAGGGAGAGGGGGGGAGGGGGGCGGGGAGGAGGCCGAACCAGCTGAGACAAGGATCCGTATAAGTGACAGAAGAGAGAGACAGAGGAAGCAGAGGAGGGGAGCTGACCTCGACGCCAGCGAGCGGGTGGAAGACGTCAACTTGAGGAAGAGACTTGGCCAGGAAGGGGATGGGGAGCACGGTAGAGGACTTAACGATCACGATCTGAACTCCCAGCGCCTCCATCATGATCTTTGACCTACAGCACGAGGAACTAGTCAGACCCCAGACGTCTTTAAGACGTTAACACCATCTGCACCATCATGGTTTGAATGATCTCATATCATTGTTCACATCATTATCGTCGTCATCATTTCTTCCTCCACCTCCTCCTTCTCCCCCATCACCACCATCAACATCTCATCACCACAATCAATCGTAAAAACAATCACGATCACCTTGAACTGATATCTCCCACACAGTAAATTCTCGTGAGCTTCTTCCCTAGAAGTTTCCTGAGAGGTCTGCAGACAAATCTCTGTAGGAGGCGCTGGTAGATGCGATGAACAAAGTTTGGAGTCCCCTGCAAAAGCAAGAGTCAAGAGAGGAAGAGGAAGGAGAGATAGTAGAACTATAAACAGAGTTATCATCATCACCATCATCATCATCATCATCATCATCATCATCGCCATCATCATCATCATCATCGCCATCATCATCATCATCGCCATCATCATCATCATCATCATCAGTAGCAGCAGCAGTAACTGACCCTCATTTCTCGTTCGTAGGCTTCCAGTGCCCAGGGAACTGTAAACTTATAGACCAACTCTTCCGAATCTCTCATAACCGATTCATGTATGATTTCAAGACAATCTCCCCTGTCGTGGACGTCATTGCTAATGTTGAAACCAGAAGCAGCAGCAGCAGCAGCACTATCACCGTCACCATCATCATCATCATCATCATCATCACCACCACCACCACCATCATAATGGTTATCATAATCACCATCACCATCACCATCACCATCACCATCACCATCACCATCATCATCTACCAACCATTATTGTCATCTTTGTTATTGTGTTTATCAGCTCCATCATCTCAATCATCAACATCTCCAACCCCCATCACCACAGCTCAACATTCATCAGCTCATACCTGGTGAACATCACAGACGGCTTCACCTCCTGGCAGTTGTACCGAAACTTCGTTCTGCCCTCGCTCATAGCAATCGCTCCCCCACTCTCCATCATGCAGAACAGCTCGAGGACGAGTCCAGCAGGCTCTGACCATGACAGGAAGCTCATCGAGACCTCGGAGCGCGAGAACGAGCAGGACAGGCTGCGCTCCAGCACTGAGCAGACGACTTGAGCATGGGAGAGGGGCAGGGGGCGAAGAGCTCCGTCAGACGCATGCTGGTAGAGGAGGAACGCCACGTCATCAGGTTCGCATCTCTCCACGGGCGAGAAGACCCTGTTCCTTACATCCCGGATCTTCTTCAGACGGTGAGTGAAGGCATACTCCTTGTGCCGCAGGAAGCCTGTCACCCCGTCGATGCAGATGATCTCCTCCACGTCCGTCTTGCTCCTCTCCTTCATCCCCTTCACCTTCTCATACAAGTCCTCGTTCCCGACAAACACAACCTTGGACCGAGAGTCGGAAATCGCTGCCAGCCAGTCCTCCTCATGCTGGGACTCGTGCAGCGGTACCACCGTCGCTCTCAGGGAGAAGGCGGCAACACAGATCGCAACCCACTCCGCGCAGTTCCTGGAGATGATCGATACGCGGTCTCCCCTCCTCACTCCCATCTCATACATCAGGTCCCTGACATCTGTCGCCAGGTACCTGACCTGGTTGAAGGTGACGTACTTCCAGGCTCCCAGGGGATACAGCGAGTCGACGATCCAGTAGCCGTACGCGTTGCGATGCTTGTGTATCTCACACGTCCTGTCGAACAGGCCCAGCAACGAGTCCACGGGCGCATGACTGGCCCAGAGCAAGGACAGCCCTTGCTCGACCTCCCCCAGGGGAATCTCTTCTTTCTTCTTGAACAGACGTTTCAGCAGCTGAGGGCTCCATCCTCGCTGCTGCAGCTCCCTTCTAGAGACGTTTCCTCCCTCGACGCTGAGAGATCTGCACACAGACTCCTGCACTCTCTTCGCAAGGTTCAACCTCCTCTCCCCGGCCCCCTCTTCATGCGCTGGTTTCGCTCCTGAACTGCAGAGACGTCGTTGATGCGCGATCGTAGGCCATGGAGGAGCATGGAACTGCTTCTGCTGGACGTATCTGACGAGCAACAGACGTCATCCATGGCCCGATCTTCGCTCCCATCATCATCGCTCACCTCGCAACAGTCGGACCTGGGCGGCTCAACCCAAGGCTTGCTGAGCTTCTCGACGCTGCAGCTGTCAGCCAGAGGAATGCTTCTTGACGGAATTTCAAACAAGCATTCATAGCACACAGTTTCCTGCCATCACAACAGGTCTCAGAGGGTATTTCATGACTTGTGTCCCCAAATTCAATTTATATTCATTCTGCATTGCTCATGCCAGGATTTCAGCCCCCACATCCTCATCTCTTCTCTCTGTACTTCAGTCAAGTCTCATTCTCCCCTTCCATCCTCTGCTCATGCTCGTTTGCTCCATCCTCCTGTCGTCTCTTCCTCCTCTGCTCGCCTCTGCCCGCCCCCCTCTTCATCCTTCCTCTCTGTGCATATTCGCACGTGGAACCACCCCCTTGTCCTAGGGGAACCCACCCCCTTGTTTAACAGGTAGGGGTGTAGTCCTGTACATTTGGATGACACCAGTTAGCACTTTCCCAGAGGGGGTGGGGTTTCTAGGGTGGGTAGTGAAAGTGGGGTTGGTGGGGTGGGGAAAATAGCATCCACTGGAGGGGTGTCTGATACTGTTTTCGGTGGGGTGGGGGTAGTAATAGTCCACCGAGTGACGCAGAGCGAAAATGGATACGAATCAACGAAGAGGATGCGGAGGCGATGGCGGGAAGATGGCGAGAGAGAAGAAGAGAACATGAGGAGACGTGTTGAATCATCAGACGACAACGACTGGAGACAAGAATGACGCCAAGAGCATGAGAAAGACAGAAACACAAGAGGGAAGGTCGATAGCAAACAGCACAGTTCAGTACCGGGATGTAGAAGATCCAGATTTTCAGTGGAGATTGTAGGATCCAAGGACAGAATATTCGAAGGAGCAGAGAAAGTATCAGCAGCTATTGATTGCTATGTCTGACTCAATGACGAGGACAAGAAGGAGGAGAGGGGTGGGGAGAGTCTCATTAGCAACAATGATTTAGATGCAACACGATTTGATCATTTATGGGATAGAGAGGATGGCGAAGGGGTCTGAACTCCACTGATGATCTCTTTGTAGTTTGATGCGAACAACGATGGAGAATCCTGCAAGCATCTTGCTGTTGATGTGAAGGACTTTGTTTGAACAATCCGTGCTGGTGAAAATGCAGGACTGCAGGACCTGATTCCTACACTGAAAGTTCTCCTCTTCGTTTCCGATCCTCAACGATGCAGCCGCATACCAGCAGCTCTGAATCTGACACGCTGCAGCCCAAGAGCCATGGCGTCTTCGAGGAGAGTGTCTACCAAAGGGCACGAGCAGCGAATATGATGACCCTTCTTGCGCTGTTCTTCGCTGAGACGGTGGTGCTCCCATCCCTCTCCTCCTACCTTGCAGCCTTCCATGCCGAATCGACCATGCTCGGGTTCTGCATCGCGGCTACGTACGTGGGGAGCATCTGCACTGCTCCGCTCTTCTCCTGGTTGTACACCGTGACCTCAGCACGTGACCTCTGCCTACTCGCCATCGTCCTGGCGGCAACAGGGAGCCTCTTCTATGCTCTTGCTCACAGTGTCATTGCAATCCTCTCAGCTCGCTTCCTCGTGGGCTGTGCTGCCGGCGTGCAGGGCTCCCTGGTCGCCATGTCCAGCGGAATCTGCAGGAGGGAGGACCGGTACAACACGGTGGTTGCCATGAAGTCGCTGTACTCGGCCGCCTTCATCCTCGGCTCGGGGTTGGCGGCAGTCGCCACCTTCGTCCACACCCCCGCGCCCGGCCCCTTCAACCACATCGAGCATGCTCTGCCCAGGTACGTTCACATGCTGCACATGCCCAACGTGTCGGACGTTGTGAACTCGCGCCTTTCCTTTGGATCCCTCGGGGGACTGGTGATCCCTCCTGACCAGCCGGGGGCATCCAAGACTGCAGCCAAGGCAGCGCTGATGAAGGTGGTTCGGAGAGAGGAAGGGGGCGCGGGTGCCGCGCGTCATGCGAGGAAACTTCTAGACTCCGAGGAGCCGGCGCGACGGGCCTTGCCGTCGGTGAACAGCGGGAAAGGACGGTCGAGGGATCGGAGAGGAACCAGCAACGTGGTGAACGCGAGCAAGACTGGGGCAGGAGCGTTCAGATACTTCAGCAAGGATGTGCACAAGATGACTTCGGAGCTGAACAAGGTGGGCAAGCTCACACAGAAAGATCTGGGGATGGGAGGCTTCACCAAAGAGGAAGAGATCGAAGAGGCTGGAGGGCAGAAAGGTCTCAAGACTGACCAGGACATCGCCAACGAGATCGGCGATCATCGCATGTACATGCCCCAGTACGTCACCGCCATCGTCGGCCATGGCCTGCAGGCACCCGGCTTCCTCGGGGTTCTCATCTGCTCCCTCGCCTTCGCGTTCGTCTACCACGAGTGGAGTTACATCCCCAGCGAGTTTCCTCGAGAGAAACTTCAGCTGCCCCTGCCAAACCTCCCGCTCTCCTCCTTCAACCCCAGGAGCAACCCTCGCTTCCTCCTCCACCTCACGCCCATCATCGCCTGCGTCGCCATGGAGCTTCTCTTCCAGACCTGGTTGGCTTCGGTCGAGACCATCGTCGCGCCCATCACTGGGATCTACCTGGGTTTTACCATCGACGCGACGGCTGTCTTCATGATGGGCATCTTCTCAGCTGGGGTCGTGGGCATGGCGGTGCTGCAGCCGATGAAGAGCCACTTCTCGACTCGCTCTCTGATGATCCTGTGCATCCTCTTCGCCATCCTCGGCATGCTCCTCTGCGTCCCTTGGTTCGGCCAGCTCTCGCCATGGCAGTACGCCCTCGGCTGCTACACCTGCGCCTTCGCGCTCTTTCCCGCCTCCTCCATGGCTTCGGAGGTGTTCGCTCGATCCGTGTACGCGGCTGGAGCAGAGGGAAGGGATGTCTCGTGGATGCAGGCCTACTGGGCCGTCACGACCATCCCCTCCCACGTCATCGTGCCCATCGTGCTCTCTTACCTGCTGCAGTTCGACAGGAGCGCGTCGCTCTGCTACCTCGGGCTGCTCATCTTCTCTGCTCTGACCGCCACTGTGTTCATGCACTACAGGAGGACGATGACTACTGCTCACTTGGGCGAGGAGGATGATGCGGACGAAGGCACGAGCGTCATCCCTGCAGCCCCCCAGCAGAGCTCCTACGGGTCCTTCCCTCGACCAGCTCAGCCGACGTAACCGACGAGGTGAGAGTAAGGGGGGGGGGGGGGGGGGGGGCGCATGTTGCTGGACCCGCGCCGTGTACGACATTCAAGGCGCTTGGAAGAAACGAGCTCAATCTTTAATGACGTTAAGACTCGCTCGTCGCAAATGAATTCTCTGTTGACTGAAACTTGCTATCTCTCGTTCACTCTGACCCTCCCATGACAATCTGCTTCATTTTACCGGTTCATTTCTCTTGATCTTTGAAGTAAAATTTATTTCTTCGCTGCTTCCACCCACTTACCATTCCTTCGTTGACCTCTGAACTCAATCTCTCTCGAACGTCGCCACTTTGCTCGATCGTCTCCCTCATGTTTGATCTCCCCTCCATGGAGCTATCTTCGTTTCAACTTTCCTTGATCCTCTTCTCAAATAGAACTCCCTGATCTTAGAACTGCAAGAACTTTCTTTCGCATCGTTCTCGAAAAGTCATCATCCTCACCTGCTTTAATCTCCCCAGACCACAAAAAATCAACAAAGACAACCATCAACATTGTCATCACAACCACCAAAACTGTCATCATCATCGTCGTCGTTGTCATCGTTGTCGTCATCATCATCGTTACAATAATTACCGACTCAGCCTCCAGCTTCATTTCTGTACTTATATCCTTACCGTCGTCGTCGTCGTCAGCAGCAGCAGCAGCAGCAGCAGCAGCAGCAGCAGCAGCAGCAGTGGCAGCTTCATCATCAACATCATCAGCACCAGGACCACCAGCACCACCATCACCACCAGCACCACCAGCACAACCACCACCACCACCAGCAGCAGCAGCAGCACCAGCATTGTATCCGAGGTTCTCCCCTGCTTCTCTTCCTGTTTCTCTTCCCCTCTTTACTTTCGTCCTACCAATAGCAACCTTTACCACCACCCACCCACCTAATGCCTTCTCCAAGTGTCACTGATGTATCCCTTTAATGCTCCACCATTTTCCTTATCTTGATCTAATTAATAATAATCATCCCTATCACTCAGCCATCTCTGCTCCACCCTCTCATCCTACCACCCCCTAATATACCCATCGTCAACAACAACGGGACCGCAGAGGACGAAAATGATTCACTTGCCATGGAGCAACGAAAACTCCTCGTCCTTCCCGTCCTTCCCGTCCTTCCCGTCCTTCTTCTCCACCCCCTACGACACCTTCATTCCCTCGGATGAAGATGTCCAGAAGAAACAGGCGGAGAACGCGGAGCTGGAGCGTAACATACAGCAGAGAGAAAAGGAGATAGCAGACGTGAAAAGAAGGATAGAAGAGAGAAAGGAAGGAAAGAAAAAGAAGGAGGTAAGTGCTCTCGTGAATCCTCCTTGTTCCTCCCTCACTTTCACTGCCCGTCCTCCTCCCCTTCATCAGATTGATTCGAGAACATGCAGGAGCTGAAGGCTTCTCTAATCAAGGACAGCGCAAACTTCACCAGCTCCCTTACCATCAACGGGGTTGTACATGAAGTTCCTCTCTCCTTGCAAGATCATCTGCAGCGGGTGAACGCGGAGTCCCCGCTCGAGCTGCCGAAGGACGAGCTGTCGATGCTGGAGAAGAAGGAGATTAGCACGACCAAGGTCCAGTGGAAGTACAAGAAGGAGACGTACTGGAGCAGGGGATACGTTGCAAGCAGGATGCCAGGCTTCAACGAGAAAGATTTTGCAATCCCAAACAAGGACAGCAAGCCTGCCGAGGGCTCGCAGCAACCCAAGAGGGACAGCATCTGGGACAACCTCTCTAACTGGACCAAGACCTTTCAGGCAGAAGAGGAGCAAGTTGAACTAGTGGCTCCTCCCCCCAAGGTCGATCAGTCCAAGAAGAGCCAAACTGCCGAAGCTTCCTCCATCCCCACTCCCATCCCGGTACCCAGGCAGGCCGCAGCCCGTGGAAGTTTTTCTTCTGTACCGCTACCTCCACCTGCTCCTGTTGCTGCTGCTGCTGCTGCTGCCCCTCCCCCTCCTCCTCCTCCTCCTTTCCTTCCTGTCCTCCCCGGTGCTCCTGCTCTCCCTATTCTCCCTCAGGCACACAGCAACGGGATGGTGCCTCGGCAGCCGTTCATGATGGTTACCTCCGAACCTCCTCGTGTGAGCCCTCCGCTGACGCCCAAACGAGAAACTCGAGCAGCAGGGGGATCGCCGCCGCTGCAGTATCCTGACTCTCCTCCTCCTCCCCTCCTCCTGCATCCTGTCGGTTCGCATCCGATACCGATGGCCTAGTCCTGATCAGTCAGCAATCAGACAGACTGTGAACAACGACGAAAGATTTCCACGAGTACAAATTCAACGGGCGATAATTTACAAAAAGAAAATAATATTTGATGTCTGTAAAGGTGCGCTAAGTCAATCAAGCCATTCATATGACGAGAAGGAATCTCTAGCGCCTCAAATCAAATAGGAGGTTGTCCAGGTGGGCTGGAGGGAGCGGCATCTATACGAGAAGCATTCTTGCTCTTCTTCTTCTTGTTGGGATTCGTTTCTCCTCGCTCCTTGGCGTCTGCCTCCATCTTCTCTCGCTCTTTCAGTTTGATGTATCTCATTGTCCGTCGCTTCATCTCGTCTCGTGATACAATCGCCTCTTCGGTGTATTCTGCTCGCGTGTCGCCCTCCTCCTCCTCTCGTTCTCGTTCCGAGGAGACCTTGGGGAAGTTCATGCGGGAAGTGAAGGAGACTCGCGTGTTGTAGGCGTTGGATTCTCTGACTCCGCTGCTCTTGTTTGCCTTGCTCACAGCTTCTTTCAGCTTCTTGGGCATCACGGGACTTCTCAACTCCTTGTCCGTCCCCTCAGCTCCGAGTGCAGAAAGTTGCTCTTCGTTGGGTACAAAGGCAAGAAGGGAGTCAGCGTACAGGGTGACCCACTCAGTCAAGCCTCCCTCCCCTTCATCCGGGAAACTTTCGGGGGGAATCTGCAAAGCAGGATAAGGAGGGAGGAGCACAGGGATCAAAAGCGAATACTTCAGTGCGATCCTTGCAAGACTTCATGCGGAGGAAGCCAAGGCGGATAGATTCCTTGATGTGCGACATTAAAGACTCGAGCTGGTACAGCTTGACACTCAAAGCATCAAGCCTGTTGTGCCACAAGTCATTGAAAACAACGCATAAGGTCATCATACCTTTCCAGCGCCATGTCATAATTTCTCTCACACAGTGTGAATTGTCTTGTCTCGTTCTCAACAGAGTGCGAGGTCTTGCTAGACAGCTTGAGCAGCTGCCTATCAAGAAACTTCTTTTCTTCTTTGAGCGCTTTCACTCGTATCTCCTGGTCTCGTACTGCTTCCGTCCATGCTTGGAAGGTTAATGTCTGCTTTTGGAACCTGGAACAAGAATCAAGAGAGCAGGGCAAGTTACTGTTGACAGTACAATTCCACTATCCGAGTGATGTCACTTTCTCCTATCTTCTGCATCATCGTATTGAACACTTCTTCAAATGCTTTAGCTTTTTTCTTCAACTCATTTCTTCTTGGAGAGTCCTTGTTTGGATCATATTGATGTTGTAGCTTTGACGTCAATTCTTTTACCTGGGAGAATTTGAATTACAAAGAGGCAACTGATTGGACACTGACTCTTACCCTTTCTTCATGCTCCTGGATTATCTCTTTCAATCGTATTTGTCTCTGGATCATTCTTTGCCTTTGTTCCAGCTCACCTTTGAACTTGCCTTGCAGCTCGTCTTTTACTTCAAGCATCGTCAACAGCTTTCCTTGTCCCAAACTTTTCTCGACTTCATGTAAGTTATCACGCAGTTGTAGTCTCAAAACTTCAAAATCATGACTGTATTCTTTAAGACTGTCTTCAGTCTGTTCAAGATTCAGTCACAAGGCAGAAAGCTAATCAGAAGAGTTTCACCTTCTCCACGAGATTCCGCATGGTGATCATCTCCTTCAGCGCGACTTCGTGTTCCTTTTCCAACTCCATCCTTTGGGCGTTCTCGTCGAGAATTTTCTGATCAGTATCTTGAATTCTCTCCTTGAGGTTGCTGATCCTGCTGAAAGCTTCTGCCAGTTTTCCGGAACCTGACTGTTCTCGCTCTTCCATTTGAATCGACACCTGACAGAGTATCAAGGCTGACCGTGGCAGTCCAACATAGAGGTCGATCCTACCTGGAGTTCGTTCTCTAATTTTGCTTTCTGCTTTTGTCGAGAGATCTTTGCATGCTTGATTTCATTCAAGATCCTCTCGAGTTTGAACAAGTAGTCCATGACTTTCTTCCGGTAGGGCTCTTCTTCCATCATCTTCTTCTGAGTGTGATCTGAGTCCGTGAGGAACCTGGAAGCCTGATGTTTCCACGTCTGCAGTTCGTCGTCCATCCATTTCTCCCCTTGAAACCTTCCATGCTGACTCTTCTTCTTGGACACCTGGAACATGAATGAGAGAGTGGAATACTTCACAGACTCCTTTACGTCAAAGGATATTCCAATCATCTTGCCATACTCCCTCAGTTTTTGCAAATTCTGTTTCATTTCATACCTTCAAAAATCAGTATCAGTGACCACTACAATAGGTGAAATTGTACAGTGAAAAGAACAAGAACAATGGTAATGTGCATACAAGAGCTTTTCCCGCGCAGATGCTTCTTCCATCATGTTTTGCTCGTGGGAGCTGAACGAGATTGGCGTGTTCTCTACTTCTTTCGCAGCATGGCGAGAGGACAGTCTGCTGCCAGCTGCAACGCTTGCCGGTCTGGCAACATTCGGTTGAAAGGAGACGCCCGGGAGCTCCAGGCTCTGTATGGGTGTCTTCCCTACATGCCTCGGATCCGTGTCGATCAGCAGCCCAGAACCTGCAGGGCGGGTCAGTTGGAGACACATCGAGGACAGCAGCGAGTACGTTCTAGGAGGTGCTCCGGATCTTCCTGCACGAGCTTGTTCAGACGTATTGCAGCTGTGATGGCATCCTGAGTGAGGAAATGAGGCAGTCCCTTGAGCTCTTGTCTTGTCAGCAGATGATTCATGTCATTCGGCGCATCATTCTGCGGATTGAATGTCGCGACAGCAGGCAGCGACTTTGTCGTCATGGGAAACTGTGTTGATCAATCAAACAAGCAAGCGATCCCACCAAGAAGAGTGTGAATGCTTCACAAGTTTGAGGTGCAGACAACGACAGATTGATCAGAGCGCCGTTAAAGGCAGAACATCCTGCGCAGTGAATTAATGCTCAAGAATCATCCGGTTGGGCTTTCAAGAGGTGGCAATCGAGAGATGCTACAACCTCTAGCCAAGACAAAATTCATCGGAATCAGAGAGGTTCAATCATCGCATTTCCTTGGTTACAAAACTCGGTTACGGGTTGTCGGCATGAAATCATCGATCTCAAGAGTCACAGTTCTCTCTCAGTATCTTCATCTCTTTCTGTCCTACAATGTTCTAAGAGTTGAGACGCATGTCATCGTTTGCGTCTGCTCCTTTTTACCTTCCTCTGCTCTATCCGTCTCGCTGGCTAGTCTTATTTCGATCGCAAACGTCTTGCTTCCCTTCACTCACCAACACCATCACTGAGTTCCTCCCATGCCAGTCTCTCTCCTCCTCTCTGCATCTCGCACATGCTCTTCCCTGCTTCCCCTGCATCTTCGCCGCACATCCTTCACTGCCACCCCACGGTTAGCTTGTGCATGGTCGGTTGTTGGCAACGGTAGGCCCCTCTAAAGCCTATTTCCACTGGCGGTAGTCATTCCGGCACATTCTTCAACATGTTTGCGATATTTTTGAAATTTTATTTTCAGATTCGAAATATTACACATCATATTGGGATATCTCAATCGATAAGCAAAGTATCGGTGACTACCCACCTCAAACAGGATCGACTACCGACCCCATGCAGGCTTGATAAATCTGGGGGTAGTCATCGGGGTGAACCATATTGAGGCGGGCTTACAACCAAACATACCACCCTGGTAAAGTAAAACTACCCTTGGATTTCTGAAGTACTCTCCACCCCTCAATTCCTATGTACCCCACCCTACCTATCCCCTGGATTCGGTCTCGCACTACACCACTTGGGTCCTACCCAAGCTGCGACAACGGCAAGAAATGGGATAGAGGCATGGGCGGAAGGAGGAGGAGGATGGTAGAGGAGCAGTGCGAGAGAGACTGAGATGAGATGAGGAGATAGCAACATGTAGAGACAGGGGGACAGGAAGAGCAGATAGAGTCAACCGAGAGGAAACGCAGGGCCCAAAGAAAGAGCGATGTATGAGCCAGAGACCAGGGACAGGTTGGAGCGACACGTCAGGAGACGTCAGATAACAGAGAACAATGTCTGTCCTCTATTCTATTTAGCGAATGAAAGAGAGGATGCCTTCGGCATGTATCAGTCGACCTGCATTGAGCCCAGGGCTTGTTTGCAGGTGCTGTGTTTGTGTGGACTCTATCCATGGCAGGATCTACACGAAGGCCGCAGAGCGCGAGAAGCACATCATCTGCCGTCTCTTTCAACTCATCTGGAGTCAATGTGAAGAATTTGCTCCGGGTGAGCAGAACAAGGCACGGCCAGTGCTCGAGTTGTGATGGAGCTGCCCACAGGATCCGGATCAGAGCTCTGTCGCAGACTCGGAGTCTTCGACTCCCAGAAAGGAGAGAGAGGAGCCGGTTAGATGCCGAATGACGCTCTCTGCAGAAATGCTTCGGCTCTAGCGGGATGAGGGACGTCTTCAACGGTGAGAGCGAGAAGCAGAGCGCCGAGTCGCACGCCAAGTTGCGCAACATCACTGGTTGCAACCTCCATGACATTGACCTGAAAAACACCTTCCAGAACAGGTCAGAGAGGTCGCGCGATCCCTCCCCTGCTGAGCTCTCTCCCTGCAGGAAGAACGTTTCGAGTGGGCCCGAGCAGGAGTACACGTACAAGAAGAACCGGGGGGATGCGCCGAGATGGTTGAATAGGCTACACCTGCCGGGGCTCTTGAGCTGAGGGGCTTGTCAGGTATCAAGGTTCTCCCAACACCATCCTCGATCCAGACTCAAGGACTGCAAGTAGCCAGAGGAAGACGTTTGGGAAGAAGGTGCGAAGAAGGAGATAGCTGGAGGAAGAAGCAGAGAGGAAGTGAAGGGAGGAGAGGGCAGGAGAGGAGAGGTGAAGAGAGGGGAGGGAAAGCCGGCTGACCTGGTATCATCAGTATGAGACGAGCGGTGATATCATCCGAGATCCTCCTCAGGAAGCAGAGGTAAGGATGCCTTGCCGATGTCGGCCATGTCGCTTACGGGGGAGTCATGGTATCAGAGAAAGAGCCGGAAACAAGCCGATCGAGGGAGGACACAGTTGGTGGACCACGGGGACATCATCAGCGGAAGGGATCAGACTGTGATCCACTCTTCGGGGAAGAGGCAGACAGGCGCATCGAGTGCGGCTGCGCACAAAAGCACGCTATCCCTGCTCAAGTGGGACGAGGGCGGCCGAAGGCATGTTTGTCTCGACGTGCTCTGCTGCAAGCGCTGACGTGACTTGCTGGACTTGTCAGGAATGTCAATGAAGGGCAAGATGGCATGGGGACACCTCAACCCAAGAGTGCGCGCATGGTGAGTGGTCGAGGGATTGCTTCACGTCATACTGATGCTTCACCCACCAGCCTGCGGCCAACTCGAGCTCACAGGTGCAGCGAGTGCTGACGGAGAACTTCCAGCCACAGAGAACTCCGTCAGGTCAAAGCAGCATCGACAACTTGGCGCTGAGACTTGCATACGCCGTGACTGCTCCGAGGTCAAACGCAACAGGGAGAGGAATTGCAGATTTGCAGCAGTGAAGGAGTGGGCAAGCGGAAATTTTCAAGACCTTCTACTGTTAAATCATAAGATTTTGTGAAGACTGAATGAAATTTGCTGTGACTGTTTTTACTTGCCCTTGGTCATTTCAAAGAGGTTGGTCGCTTGATGACTCATGAACCCCTCATACCGGTAACTTTTCCCAGCTTCGTCTCTGCAGGAATTGCTTGTCAAGTTCCTCTAACGACTCTCTCCCCTCTCACGTGAAGCTGTCTCGTTGCGCGAGCTCGAAGTAAGCATACTTCCAGTTGCAGTTGATGACCTTGCCCTGGAGTTTCTCGTCAGTTCCATTCACAATCAGCTGCATCATCTCACCTGCCATATGACCGGCACGTCGATGGTCACAGCCTGCGGCGAACGAGGTTGATCGGCAGTCGTGCAAGTTCACAAAACACCTCAGTTGCTGTCTGTCGCAGCTTCGATCCTCGCTCTCCTTCGATGTCGTCTTTCATGGGGACTCCTGCTCCTCGTGTCAAGGCTCAAGGAGAGAGGAAGAGAGGTGGAAGAGGTGCCTGCGCTGGCCAGAGCCTTTGCTGTCTTCTCGATATCGTTCAAGCTGTCGACTTTATGTCTGCGGCTGACATCAAACGTTTGCTGCTTCTCACAAGAGAAAGTCACGAGTTGATGAGAGCTGTGAAGTGATTGACGTTGTTCCCATGCACCTGCGAGGACAAATGAGCGCAAACCAACAAGACGACAAGAGATGCACTCACAAGCACCCATGCGGCATACTGACTCTCCTCGTTCACTGCTTGAACATCCTGCCGGCTTTCTCAGGCAGACGCTGCCACATCCGTTTGTATTCTCTGTCACCTCCAACGTTGGAAGCGCCCATGGAACAACCTGAAGGCAGTTGAGGGTCCTTTCAAGGAGGCTGTCTAGACTTGCTGACGTCATGCTGTCAGCGATGACCTAGATGGGAGACAAGACATTCACTTGATCTTGTTGTGTGCAAGTTGTGGATGCTTTGCAGAAGCCCATCTGTGAGCAGAGACTTGTGAGACGATACTGACTTGAGGATTCTATTTCGATTCTTTTCCGAGAGCTCGTAAACTCTGAAACAGGAACATGCTGAGTTCATGCTCGCAACAGTCAAGACAAACCTGATCTCTGACACGAAGATTTTGGGGAAGAGAGGCTCGGGGTGCTGGAAGTAGATTGCGTTGAGGTGTTTATCTTCGAACTAACAACCTCCAGTCAAGAGCTGAACGAACAAGGAAGGACGACACCTGGTAGCACTCCTTGGCCCGGTAGCCCAGAGCTTCGAAGATCCGTCCAATGGAAGCGATTCCCATGCTCGGACTCTGACGAGTCAATTGAGCGAGTGTGAGAGTAGCTGCATTCGTTCGGTTGCCTGCGTTTGGATCGTGCGGAACGCCACATGGTCGTTGACAAAGCTTGCCTGGTGCTTCGCTACAATGTCCTCGTACACCCTGACGTAGGAGACTCTCTGACGGTATCTGGACGGGGAGGTCACGCAACAGCTCTGCTCACTGCAACCAGCTCACTGCTCCCAGAGCTTGTCGAAGAGCGAGAGGGTGAAGCGCTGAGCCTGACTCTTTGCTGCAACAAGGAGGGTGAGCGGAACAGATCATCTCAGCTTGCAAGAGCATTCCTGGGATCCTGGAGTGAGGGAAATGAATCCCACCGGAGAGATTTCGTTGGAGAGCTGCAACATGGTGGCTAAGGACGAGGTGGATCGCGTGAGGGCTCCTTCCTACCTAGCTTCATGGTTGACCGAGGAGGTATCATACGTTTGCAAATCATCCCGCAAGTGCAACTGCGACAGAATCAGGCGGAACGAACGCGCCCATGTGTCCAAAGAGCTCATGGATCCAGGCTGCATCAAGACCGACACTCTTCCATCACTTATTTCCCTTCCATCTCACTCTGTACGAGCATTGTGTATGAGATAATTATCCTTCCTCGAAATCTTCCAATCCCCTTCCCTATCCTTTCGTATCGCTTACTTTCCTCAGCAGCACTGCTCGGCTCCTCTCAGCTCCTCTTGTTCCCTCCTCTCCTCGATCCTCCCTCCCTCCTCCCTCCCTCCCTCTCCCTCCTCTCTCTCTCCCTTCCTCCTGTCCTCCTCCTCCCTTCTCCCCTCCTTTCCGCCACTCTCCCTACTGCAACCAACTGGGGCGTATTACAAGTACCCCACCAACACCTGATCCTTGGATTACCCCACCTAACGACTTCGAATTCCAACAAACTCTACTAAGAATAACCGGTACTTTTAGTACCCTACCCCCATGTGTCGTCAAGCAACGGCCCCCAAATCGTGACTTGCGAAGTTGCGATGACGCAATTCGATGACAACAATCAGATGATGGAGATGATTACAAGTAGATGATGGAGATGATTACAAGTAGATGATGGAGATGATTACAAGTAGATGATGGAGATGATTACAAGTAGATGATGGAGATGATTACAAGTAGATGATGGAGATGATTACAAGTAGATGATGGAGATGATTACAAGTAGATGATGGAGATGATTACAAGTAGATGCTGATTGAGATGTAGATGATGTAGATGATGACGGTAAGTAGTAGATTATGTATCTGATTACATGTATGAATAGGTCAGTGAGGAATTATGACTTCTTGGATACATTTTTCACTGTGTTTGGATCAAGAAGGTCTCGGGTAATGAAGAATATTCTTTCCGTTCTCCTGCTCCTGCTCCTGCTCCTGCTCCTGCTCCTGCTCCTGCTCCTGCTCCGTTTACCAACACCACCATCAATTCTTGCTCGCGTCTCATCCTTACTACTCTTCCTGCTCATGATTCGTCAAGCTACATCACCGCTTAGCCTCTCTCCTGCTTGACTCTCGACGCCCCTGAGCATCGGGGAGGGCGACGGCGAGTGAGGAGGCGGGGGAGGGACCTGATAAGAATTCATTCACCTAGTCTAACTTGATTGCCTGCTGCGGGTCTTCGAGAAACTCCTGAGCCTTCACGAAGACCCTGACGGACTTGGGGATCTTCCACTGCAACCAGGACAAGTAAGGGAGAGGAGGAGACTCTCGGCGAGGGTGGAGGGGCAGGAGGCGAGGGAGGGAAGAGAGCGAGCAGTAAGGAGGAGGGAGGGAGGGAGGGAGGGAGGGAGGGAGGGAGGGAGGGAGGGAGGAGTTTGAGGGAGCGCTCTTACCGTGGTTTCATTCGTCCGCTTATTCCACCAATAAATTCTTCCATCCTGCCACCTACAGTCACAATAGAGCGCGGTAAGGGAGGGCGAGCGGCGAGGAACCTTGGAGCTGATCTTTCTCCATGCCTTGCATTCTTGACAATGCTGAAGGGAACGAGTGAATGAGAGAGCATGTCACACGCTCCGCTGACCTTCAGCACAGTCTTCAAATTGATGTACTCCTCCTGCACTTTCCTCTCCGCCACCGACAGCTCGTTCAGCTTCTGCCGGGCCTCAGCGACCAGAGCCTGTGCAAGGGCATGAGAAGACAGGAGCAGGAGCAGGAGCAGGAGCAGGAGCAGGAGCAGGAGCAGGAGCAGGAGCAGGAGCAGGAGCAGGAGCAGGAGCAGGAGCAGGAGCAGGAGCAGAAGGACGAAGACCAGATAAGTAGAGGATTTAAGAAGACTACCTCCCTCGCACGAGAGTCTGTCTCTTCCTGAATCTCTCTGGATAGCTCCGCCTGCTGCTTGGCAGACTTTGCTTCCTGCATCACTTGCTGCTCGATCTCCAATGCCTTCATAATGATCTGACGGCAGCGTGAGGATCAGCTGAAGGAGGCGGATGCCACCTGTGCTCTCTCCTGCTGGGCTGCCTGCACCTTCTCGTTGGCTCGAGTTCGATGCATCTTCTTCTCGTGCCTCTTGATCTTGAGCTGAGAAGAGTCCCAAGTCACATGGTAGTCGTTCTCAGCTGGGTCATGATTCCAACCTTCTGCTCCTCGACCGCGATCTTTGCCTCTGCCTGCTTTTTGATCTATCCAACGCGTCAGGCTGGAGTTGTCAGGGCCCACTGGCTCTGACCTTGTCAATCTCCTCTCTTGCCTCGGACGCCAACTTTGCGAGGGACATCGAGATCTCGATCTCTTTCATCTGATCTCAAACTCACAAGGCAAGACCGCCAGGTTGCTGCCGACTTGCCTCGTTCTCGTGGTTGAACTGCATCGCCTTCTTCTTCAGGTCGAGCTGCATGGTAGTCGCCCTCAGTCTTCGGTCCCAGCAGCGTCAGTTCGACTCCACCTATCGCAGCACTACTACCTGAGCTTCTCGGCTTTCTCTTGCGAGTCAGGAGTCTCGACGCTGCCCAGCTGATCTGCTTCTGCCAGGAGGTTCTGCAATTGTGCGCTTTCCTGTGGAAAGATCAGTAACGACGGAGGAAGAGCAGAAGAAACAGGAGAAGGAGCAGCAGCAGCAGCAGCAGCAGCAGCAGCAGCAGCAGCAGCAGCAGCAGCAGCAGCAGCAGCAGCAGCAGCAGCAGCAGCAGCAGCAGCAGCAGCAGCAGGAAGAGGAGAAGGGGAGCAGCGGGAGCAGGAAGAGGAGAAGGAGAGCAGCGGGAGCAGGAGTAGGAGGAGGAATGTTTTCATTACAGCTTCCATCAGCTTCTCGTGCTCGTCTCGAGCGATTGCCAACTTTCTCCTGCAGCATGTCTAGTCAAAGGCCCGCAACGGCAGAGGCAGGAGAGTGGTTCACTTCGCATGCTTCATCTTCGCTTCGGCATCTTGTTCGTTTTTTCTTGCAAGTCGAATGCTCTCCTTCATCTCTTTGTCAATCCTCTCCTTCTCCTCAGTGCACTGAAATCTCCGTCAGCTTCTGATGACCCTCAATCACCGTCAGTCCTTCCACCTGCTTCGTCGCCTTCGCGATCTCGTTCTCCCAGAAGGCTCGGTTGCGCTCAAGATCCAGCTGCAAAACAGTCAGAGCAGCAGAACTCATAAGTCTCTTCCAACTTTCGCCTTCTGGAACATCTGCGACGCCTCTGTCCTCATGATCGATGCCATGTTCTTGCCTGGCCAGCAAGTTATCAGCAGGCACTATAGCTTGAATTCTGCAAGCAGCTCTGCCCACCAGATTGAACGATGTCCTCAGTGGCAAGGATAGTAGCCTTCTCCTGAAGTCTAGTCTCAGCTTTCACGAAGGGATGGAAGCGGGAAGACAAGACCTCCTGGTCTCTGAGCGATCGATCTTGGTCGATCTCCTCCAGCTTCTGCTTCAGTTCCTGTAGCTGCGTCAAGAAGTTCGGTCCTCCTGTTTCAGCTCTCACCTCGTTGATCCTGACAGCGTCCATCACAGCCTTCTCCTTCGCCTCCATCACTTGGTTCATCGAATTCTCCAGCAGCTGCGTGATCTGCAAGGCGGGTCAAGAAAGTTGGAAGTCTTTGACGCTGCGAACCTTCGCTATAGTATCGTCAATCGTGTCGTCGTCAACGACTTTTCCTCGTCTGCTCGACGACTGGCCGACGCTCTTGACCGTCGACTCCTCAACTTCCTGCACAAGATCTCGTCATGTTCATGACGGCGAGAACCCGGCCCGCATCCACTCACCGTCGGCTGCCTCTCATCCACTTTGCGCAGAAGATGAAGCAGCAGACTGATCTCCACAGGTTTGCAGGAGTCCAGCGCTTTCAGACTCTCTCTGACTTCATCCAGCAGTCTCTTCGATCGCCCTCCGTCTTCCTCTGCAGTCCCAAGGAATTTTTCGATGGCGCTGGAGATTCTGGAGTTTATTGCCTTGAGCATTTCAATCACCTTGCTCCATGTGTCCGTGTCTGCCACGTTCTGATGCCTTTGACTGGACGAAGATGGAGGAGTCGAGTTGACACGACTAGAGCTCCCTTTCTCCTCCGTAGACTTTTCGGCCAGGAGGCAGCTCACCAGTTCCGATGGTGTGCTGTCGCTGCGCCCTCCAAAGAGCTCACAAATGCTTTCCACTTGGTACTCCCTTACCCTCTCCACCAAGAAGACAAACTCCTTCATCAATTGCAGAGAAAATTTGAAGTTCCAGTCATCCATCGGGGTTGCGAGCCTGTCCGATCGTCTTGAAGGAGGTTTTGAGGTCTCGATCTCCTTCCTTTCCTCAACCGAAGAGTTCACATCAACACTTTCACTCTTGTCCAACATTCGAACATTCACATCCTTCTGCCTCGTCTGATATCCCCTTACCCGGCTCTGGATCTTGACTGCTGCCTTCTCCTCGTCCGTGATGTCCTTCGCGGCTCCGGCGGCCCCCTTCCCTGCCTCTGCCTGCGGCTTCGCCTTCGCTGCTGCTTCAGCCTTTGCTTTGTCCTTCCCGGCCTCTGCCTGCGGCTTTGCCTTTTCGGCTCCGCCTACCACCTTCTGGCTGGTCCCCGCTCCGGCTGCAGCCCCGGCTCCGGCTCCCTGCTTGGCGACCTGCCCTGGCTGTCTCCTCGTCTGATATCCCCTTACCCGGCTCTGGATCTTGACTGCTGCCTTCTCCTCGTCCGTGATGTCCTTCGCGGCTCCGGCGGCCCCCTTCCCTGCCTCTGCCTGCGGCTTCGCCTTTTCGGCTCCGCCTACCACCTTCTGGCTGGTCCCCGCTCCGGCTGCAGCCCCGGCTCCGGCTCCCTGCTTGGCGACCTGCCCTGGCTGTCTCCTCGTCTGATATCCCCTTACCCGGCTCTGGATCTTGACTGCTGCCTTCTCCTCGTCCGTGATGTCCTTCGCAGCTCCGGCGGACCCCTTCCCTGCCTCTGCCTGCGGCTTCGCCTTTTCGGCTCCGCCTACCACCTTCTGGCTGGTCCCCGCTCCGGCTGCAGCCCCGGCTCCGGCTCCCTGCTTGGCGACCTGCCCTGGCTGTCTCCTCGTCTGATATCCCCTTACCCGGCTCTGGATCTTGACTGCTGCCTTCTCCTCGTCCGTGATGTCCTTCGCGGCTCCGGCGGACCCCTTCCCTGCCTCTGCCTGCGGCTTCGCCTTCGCTGCTACTTCAGCCTTTGCCTTGTCGTTCCCGGCTGTGGTTGTTTCTCTTTTTTGAGTTTGCCTCTCCCTCTCAACTCGTCTCTTTGGAAGAATATTTTTTCTCACAATATGCCCTCGGAACATGGACTGGATTTTTGCTGCAGCTCCATCGTATGTGAAGTATTTCTTCTTTACGTTCTCGTCTATTTTTTGTCGGCAACGTGTCGCATGTCTAGTCAGATTGACCTCTTGTAGACTGATGTCGTTGAACGTGTTGACATCTGGCGATAGTTCAGGATCGATACGTTTCGGCTTGAGGTGTGATGACCAAAATTCCAGCTCTCTCGAGGTCCCTCCCTCCACCTCTTTTGGTCTTGCTGTTGCAATTTCTTGTTTTTTTGTAGCAGGGGCTGCCAAGTTTCCTTGCGTCGTTTCTCTCAGGGTCTCGATCCTCTGTAGCATTTCGGCGCTCCTTTCATTCTCGGCTTCAATGGTAGAAATTGTGTACGCCAGATTTGCTTTGGCCAATGCTGCGTTTTGCTCATCATCGTCGCTATTTGTACTCAATCTTTGTTTGTCGAACAAGGCATTTGTAAGAAGGCTAAGCAAGGTCGACTTGTCATGTACAATCGGAATCCGGAAGGTTCTAAGTAGAATTCCCCTCAGCCAGTTCTGAATTTTTGCGGCAGCTTGATCCTCGGTGAGTTGCACTTTCCTTCTGGTAAAATTCACCCTTTCCACGACATCTCTTGCATTTGTCAGACGTACAATCAGTTTCCTTGCATATCCTTGCAGCAGACATGCATATTTGACTTTCATAGCATTGATCCGCGTAGATTCTGCGCTTTTGGAGGGCGGATTGGGAACGGAGGACGAGCTGATATACTGTGAATTTGGAAGCCTTGCGCTCATTTCCTCACGGTCTGTCTTCTGCTTCTTTGAGCGCTCTCGGGCTAGATTTTGTTTTACAAAACTTGTGTGATCAGTCTCATCTTGACTATTGAAAGCGATCGGGGAGCTCGACCAATCTCCGAGGTGAGCATTGGAATCAGGGTTCGAGGAAATCATCATCACCTTATTTCCTTATCACATTGCGAAAATAAGATTTGTATCTTAATTTACCTCAGGCGTGTGATGGCTTCGGAATGTTTGAAAGCTTTGATCGGACAGGTCAGCATTTAATAAAAGAAAGAAAGCGATGTACCCTTTCTTGCCTTGCGTATTTCGCGGACCTGAAATGATTCTTGACTGGAAATCGTAGTCAGCATCACGCAATTGGAAGAAATCAATCACCTGTCGGATTCTGTTTTCAGAACGAAAAGCCTTTGATCCAGGTGGAGTCGGACAGACCGATTGGAGCACACTTAAGACTGAGTTCAGTTTGTAACGCTTTAAACCCTGGATTAACGTTCTGGGGTTTGAAGACGATCAGAAGCAAAAACTGACTAATGCAGATACTGACTTTTTTAAATCAGGATTGAATTCTCTTGCAGTCCCATCGCTGATCTGTTTGTTCATTTCTGCAAGCTGTGAAAGGAATGAGCTGGCCGGCATATGAACAGTATATCAAGAAATAATTCATCACCGCTGAAGCCAAAGGAAGAATTCCAGTGAGTTCTTTCGATATGTCCTTGATCTGATTGATGATGAGAGATTCCTGCAGCAAAACATTCATAATATGCCTCTTGATCTGACAGTGTAGGATCATCAAAATAGCGCACCTCGTAGTGCAGCAAGTCTAGGTCGACAGTCTTGCCCTTCGATCTAGGTCTATTGAAGACTTCTTGCATCTCTTCCATCTTGCTGCAAAGCTTATCTATCCGTGTGGCCCGTTTTTCTATGGCTTCAAAAAGCACATTCTCAGCTCGTCGAATCTTGGGGTCTTGAAAATTGCCAAGCGTTGTCTGTATTTGTGCAAGCTCCTTCGCTCTCGCATTTGTCATCGCTCCGATTTGTCTTGCGATGGAGCGCACGCTATCTCTCTGATCAGATAAGCTGGTTGAAGACTTGATGTCTGGAAAGAATCGAGCTTTGGACACTTGCTTCTTGGACTCAGTTTTGCTCGCCTTGTGTTTCTTCGTTCCGGTCGTTCCCGGGACTTTCTTGCGAGCTGGTGTCTGCCGCACGCCAATTCTGCCTGATCTAGCACTGTCAATACTTTCAGATAAGTTGTTGGACGCTTCTTGTTCTGCTTCATCGGTCTGTGGAGCATCGGCAGCTTGAATTTCATTTGGGAAGTTGTCCTCGCCCCCCGGTGACAGGTCCTTTGCTGCTTGACTGTCATGCGTCCCAAGGGAAGGGGAGATTCCATGGGTCTCGATCAGGTCTTGAGCTTGACTCACTTGTTCGTTGCTCCCTTCTTTCTCCCCTCCTGCTCTAGACTGATCTCAGAGTCGGCATTGCCATCATCAGCCTTCATTGCATGCTCCATTGCAAACTCAGCTGAGATGAGCTCTCGTTCCTGCTTGCTCTTCAACTTCTTGCTTCAGCCTATCATCTCACTTTCACCCCACTCTCCTCCTCTAGCCCCTCCATGGCTTCCAACGCGCTTCATTTCCTCTTCCTGTCTCCATTTTTGTCGGTACCGTAACTCCTCAGTCAACGTTTATCCGTTTGTGGAAGTTGGCACCAGTGGGTAGGGTATCTTTTCATGGGGGGTGCTTGAGAGAATTATGGGGTTGGGGTGGTGTGTTGTAGAGTACAATTCCCTTGTAGAACAGGAATTTCGATGGGTCAATATTGTGTTGTTGGGGTGTCGATTTTACAGATAGGGTAGGGGGTACCAAGAACAACAAAAGTAGAACATGACAGAGGGTAGGGTAGTAAAGAGGAAAGTTCACTGACTAGGAGACCTCATCCCCACGCCTGCCCCCGGATGATCCAAGGGCCCGCAGAGGGGCCCGCCTCACCTCCACCCTGATCCTCCCGCCGGGACCGTCAGGGAGGGTCGGACCGGGCCTGTTGGGTAGCAGCGGCCCGGACTAGGTGCCGAGAGAGTGACAGTTGCCTAATCCGACGCCCTTATATGATATGGAAGTACGGCCACATACTGAATATTTGATGCTGAGGGCACGGACTGAGCCTGTGTGATCGGAGGACTGCAGTGCGTTGCACTTCTCAAGCCCTACCCATCAGTCGAATAATCTTGGCTGCGCCGGCAGTTCATTTTCACCGAGTCACCGGGCCAGGCCGCCCGGCCGGCCCGGACTCGACTCGGAGCCTCCGCCGAGTCCGATCCGACGAGTCCGACCGGGCCGAGTCCGTCACTGGCCGGGCTCGGATCTGCTGCTGAGGCGGCGCCCGGCTCGCATCTCAATAATGTCTCACTTCACGTGCGATAGATGTCGAGGAAGTGGAGCAGGGAGGCTGCGAAATGAAGGAGAGAGACGAGGAAGAGTAAGAGGTGAAGAGAAAAAAGATGACGGTTCGTGGAAGGATTTTCAGCACCACACGACTGATGTTTCCTGTAGATTGCTGCAGGAAATTTCAGACAACCTCTGTATTCTTGATCGGAAGAGGATCGTGTGGAGGGGCAATCCTGAGCCTAAGCATTTAACCATCATGGATCAAGGCAACGTGGACGAGATAGAGAGGATTCTATTGAACCTCCCTGATGATTCAATCGATGCGATCATGATGAAGCTGTTGAAAGCAAAGATGAGCAAGAGGGACAGGGAAGCAACGGGAAATGAGCCCGATGATTCGAGTGCAGCTGCAGCTGCAGCTGCGGCCAAGAAGCCAAAGGGGCACGTCACGATCAAATCCCAAGAAGACGATCAGGTAAGAAACGAGATGGTATGAAAGATGCTGATGTACTGTAAAGAAGGAACAAGGGCAGGAACGAATGACATCTGAAACAAGAAAGCGAAAAGGTGAGGATGTATTGAATTTACTGTAACTAACAAACAATATCATTAGCAAGCATGGAGGAATATAACGAACGCGAGCACAAGCAGAAAATACAAAGAAAGGGAAAGGAAGACTCCTCTTCCTCGGACACAACCGACAACATCAAAGACAGCAGTGATACGAACGAAAGGCCAAGAAAACCAAAACAAGAAAAACTCACAAGCCAGAAAGTAAAGGCGAGGATCGCAGAGCTGGAGGAGGCCG